TTAATCCCATATGTTCTAGTGGCAAGAATACCCATTTTTGTAAAATTAATTCACAAAAGAACAATAATAAAAATTACTCTTTTGTAATAATAGAAAAAAATAATCCGATATGTTCTAGTGGCAAGAATACTCATTGTCAGCTGATTTCTAAGCATTCAGGTCTGGGTAGCAAGAGCCCATATTCAGGGTTGGGTAGGTTGGAATTTTTGTCCAACAATAAGGCCGCTTTCACAATCAGCAAAATCGCATCGACGATTTTGTTTTTTTTTAGAATGAGACGATCCATTGCCAACTGTAGACAAAAATTTTTATTTCACGTGTTCCACTATTCGTAAAATTTCAGTTTTGTTAATATTATTAAAATTATAAAACAATTTCACCTAGGAGGATAGAAAATTTTTATTTTTTTTTTAAACAAAACAAATTTTTTTTACAATTTTAATATTATTATCAAGCTAAAATTTTGTAGGAATAGTAAAATATTTGAAATAATTTTTTTGTTTTTCAAAAGTTGGCAATGAATGCGCGCGCATATTTTAAAAATCGTCTTTAAAGTCTCCACTCATTTGTCATAATTCTCGATCAACTACCGCACCCTGTTCTAGTAAAAATTTAGTGACTTTATTGTTAAAATTAAAAGTTACTAAATTTTCACTAGAGCAGGGTGCGGTAGTTAAATTATGACAAATGGCAAGTGAGAGAACAATGGAAACGAACCACGATGCAATTTAGATATTGTGGAAGCAGCCTTATCGTTGGACAAATTTTCTAACCTATCCAACTCTGCTTATAAATTCTTGCTTCCCATTCCTGTTTCTTTACAAATATCAGCTGACATATGATTTTTTGTACTAGAGAATTACACACTAAAAAAAAAAGTAGAATTTTTACCCCAAAATCGATATAAAAAATTAACTGCAACAAATTTTATCCTAGTTGGGGGCGCCACCGTCTATGTGAATTAGCATTAGTTAAAATTACCCGCAACAAAATTTATCCAGCGTTTTTTCTGTGTATTAAAATTAATTGACAATTTTTTCAAGATTTATGCCATGTTTAAATTTTGTAATACTAAATAGTTTAAAACAATTTTTTTTTTATTTAGAATAATTTACGAAGCGTAGAATAAAAAAGAAATTTTTTTTTTGCAATTTTCGTACTATAATAACCTCGGTTGACGCGAGTATATATATATTTATACCTACATTAAAAGAAGGAAACATGGTTTGTGGGTTAAAAAGCATTTTGAGAATTGCTGTTTGCAACATATCCGGCAAATTCTTTACCAAGCACCCTCAAAACTCGACAGAACAATGAAGCTCCGTCTAGTCGTTTCGACTTTTATTACATGACTTCTGCATTTAACTCTCTTTTTCCCTCTCTATATATATAGCTATAGTTCTAATGGTAATCTTTTCATTTTTTTTTCTCTGCCTCTGCGTTTGCATTTTTTTTTCACCCTTCTTCAAATAATGGAACGCATGAATATTCCCCCACAGTAGAAATTTTTTTTTCAGTGTCGAATTAAAAAAAAAAAATTATCGACTTTCTATTTGATTTAATTTATTATAAAATGAATATGATTTTTTGTGTAATTTTTGCTTTTACCACCAATTTTCTCAAAATTCTGATGTACTAGACAATTTTGGAACCCGAAATCGTGTTCAGTGGACAAAAATACATTGGAAACGACTACCATGTCAAAAAGAACGAAAAAAAAATTTTTTTTTGATTCTCTACCCCCACTTTTTTCAAAATTTTCTCTTTTTTTGGGTCCGGCGCATATATGCGTTTCGCAGTGTACGATTCAAGCTTGAATTTGAGATTAAAATCATTGGATTCACTTGAAACTCGTTACTCGGGGGTTTTAAGGGTCGCTGATTACGAATCCGGTGTTAGTTTTTTAAAATTTAAAATGGCGGATCCAATATGGCGGACGAATTTTTAAAAATTCATCGAATTCGCTTGAAAATCGGTAATCGGGGGTTTTTGGGGTCGCTGATAACGAATCTGGTATTAGTTTTTCAAAATTCAAAATGGCGGATCCAATATGGCGGACCAATTTTTAAAAATTCATCGAATTCGCGTGAAATTTGTTACCTGGGGGTTTTTGGGGTCGCTGATTACGAATCCGGTGTTAGTTTTTCAAAATTCAAAATGGCGGATCCAATATGGCGGACCAATTTTTAAAAATTCATCGAATTCGCTTGAAAATTGTTAACTGGGGGTTTTTGAGGTCGCTGAACACGAATCCGGTGTTAGTTTTTCGAAATTCAAAATGTCAGATCAAATATGACGGACGAAAATTTTAAAAAATCGTAAAAATAGCTTAAAACTCGTTACGCGGGGGTTTTTGGGGTCGCTGATTACGAATCTGGTATTAGTTTTTCAAAATTCAAAATGGTGGATCCAATATGGCGGACCAATTTTTAAAAATTCATCGAATTCGCGTGAAACTTGTTATTTGGGGGTTTTTGGGGTCGCTGAACACGAATTTGGTGTTAGTTTTTCGAAATTCAAAATGTCAGATCCAATATGGCGGACGAAAATTTTAAAAAATCGTAAAAATAGCTTAAAACTCGTTACGCGGGGGTTTTTGGGGTCGCTGATTACGAATCCGGTATTAGTTTTTCAAAATTCAAAATGGCGGATCCAATATGGCGGGCGAATTTTTAAAAATTCATCGAATTCGCTTGAAACTTGTTACTTGGGGGTTTTTTGTGGTCGCTGATTACAAATTTGATGTCAGTTCTTTAATATAAATAGAATAGAAATTTTTTTTACTAAATATTTGTTAACTAAGAATTTTGTTATGTTAAAAATTCTCTCTTAAATGAAAATACAAAATTTCTTTTTATGCATTTTTTCCATTAATAAATTTTTCTGTTTTTTTTTTGTTTATTTTTTTCTTACTTTTTTTTTTCTTTATTTTCTCCTTTTTTCTTATTAATATTGCGTTTTTTGATGTCTCAACAAATACTTTATCTCCGCAACTACAATTTAACTTGTGTGTCAAGATAAGGCAAAAATCTCATAGAAAAATGGTCTTCCAAATGTCTCTCGGGATAAATGTCTCTCTCTCTCTCTCTCTTCTCTCTCTCTCTCTCTCAAGAGACGTTACTCATCTTTTTGAAAAGAATGTTTCTTGGTGAGAGAGGGCAAACAGAATGAGCCAAAGCCGCAATGCGCATATTCGACGTGCTCGGAAATTTACATTGAAATAATAAAAAAAAAAAGAAAAATAAAATCCCTTTTTTTGCAAAAGAAAAAAAAATCTAAAATTACGTAAAATTGGTAACAAATAAAAAAAAAATTATTTTCTTCTCAAAAAGCAATTTTTTTTTTTTGTATTGTTTGTGTTATAAAAAAAAAATTCGAGGAATTATTTTTTTATTTTTCTGATCGTATATTATTATTATTATTATTTTACTAGTTTTTTTCGTCACACGATTCCGAAAAATCAAAAAACACTATTCTTTCACTTATAATGTAATCAAAATATAATAAATCTATTTTTATATTTCTCAACTATACTTACACCACCAATCTCGCGAGAAATATTTGTCAGTCGAATTTTAACCGGGCAACGATAAAGTCGGAATTTTTTTTTTTTTTTTTCCCCCCTTAAAAGTGGCGAAACAATATTTTGTTTTGATAGTGATTTCGCGATGGGTCGTATACTTCGACTTAATTGGCTCGGCAAGTATTCATAAAAAAAAAAAAAAAAGAAAAAAAAAATTATTTTATCTTCCTATCTCTCGTAAAATGTATTTTATCATTTTTATCATTTTATCATCATGTATAACATTTTTATTTTACATTTATTTTTATATTATTTTAAATTCTCGTTTTTTTTCCTAATTTTTTTGTTTTTATATTTTTCTTTTTTACCACTAGAAATTTAAATCTTTTATATAGAAAATAATAATTTTTAAAGTGAAAAAAATAAAGTGTACAATGTATTTTGATTTTTAAAATTCACGTAAAGCATCTATATGAAAGTTTTGAAATTACGAGAAGAAAACATTGTTTTGGCCCAATGCCAAATCACACTATAGACGCGATAAAAATGAGAAAAATTTGTCGAGCATGTGGAAACTGATTCTGTGTGGTTTATATATATATATATATATATATATAGTAAATAAAAGTTGAGATTTAATTTTCCCTTGCCAATATTGTTCATTTGTCCCACATTCATCCCATAGGTCGTTTATTTTTATTTTTTTTTTTATTTCAAAGCGTTAAAATTATAATTAAGTTTGGATTTTTCTGAGAAACTATTCAACGGATTCATTTCAATTCCCATAATGATTTTTTTTTTTTTTTAATATATATATATTTCTTCAATAACGTCCTTCCTCCACATGAGGGACCTTGGTAATTTTGGATCTCGTCCAAAATAGAATTCTCGTCTTTTGACGATTATCAAATTCCAGCTTTGATAAATTTCCACATTTTGTTTTTTTTTTTTTTTTGTTTTTGTGTTTTTTATGTGACGCGAGAAACGGTACATATCTTAGAAAGAAAAATTTTTAGGTTATGTTTGTTGAAAATACAATAAAAGAACTTTTAATCAAGTCATTAAACATAACCTAACTCTTTTTTTTAAAAAAAACAATATTTAACAAAATATGGAAAATATTTTGATTTTTATTTAATAAAATTGAAAATAAATCACTAAACATAACCTAACATTTATTTTGCCGACGAATTTTGTTAACATTTGAGATCCTACATTTAAAATAAAATGACTACCCAGCCCTGTGGACTAACCATTTTTTTTTCTATCGTCCCTTCTTTCGTCCATAAAAACCGTTTAAACTGATAAACATAACCTCAAACTAAAAAGTAGTTTATAACATAATTAAAATATTGAAAAATTGATTTCACTTAAAATTTGTAAAAACAATTTTAAAAAAAAAATTATTTTTCACTTAAATATTTAGATATATTTAATTGAAATAATTTAAAATTATTTTTTTTTTTTGGTTTTACAGAGTCGAAGAAGGAAAAGACTGAACAGAATGCAAATGGCGGTATATCGTCGAACGATCCGTCAGCAAATCAAGGCGGTGCGATACCAGGTTCGGGTCCTGGTTCGTGTCCAACAATTCAAGTGGACCAGCAAAAGCCAAATAGGCCCAATACACTTGATCCAAGAACCAGGCTGACGAATCGAAGAATCATCATGCTCGGTGGTGAGCAAGAGGGATGGAATAATTCCATTTCACAGCGTTCTATTTCCAAGTCTTATCAGATAAATGAAGACTCGTCGACACGAGATCCTACAATTTCCCCAGGTTAGGGATTGTCGTCCAACCTGAGAACTGAGAAAAGCATTTTTCTTTTTTTTTTTTAACGATATATAAAGTAATACTTACTATGAATATTTCTCCACATATTAGGGATGTTGGAATTTTTTTGGGAGCAAAAAAATATCAAATTTTGAGGGGGGATGGAAAAGTGTAAATTTGTTATGGAATGACCCCAAAAAAAAATTCAAAAAACAGTTATAACTTTCAAAAAAATTACCGAATCGTTATAAAACATGGTAATTATGTTATTTGCCATGAATAAAAACTTTAAAAAGCAAAAAATTCAAATTTAGAAAAAAAAAACAAAAAATTATTATGGAATGACCCCAAAAAAAATCCAAAAAAACGGTTATAACTTCTATAAAAATTAACGGATCGTTATGAAATTTGAAAAATATGTTTTTTGCTATGAATTATACCCTTTAAAGACTAAAAATACAAATTTAGGGAAAAAAACAAAAAATTATTACGGAAAAACTCGAAAAAATTCGAAAAAAACCGTTTGGAAATTTCGAACAAATTGACGGATCGTTACGTAACTTAGTAGTTATATTGTTTGCTATGAATAAACTTTTTATAAGGCGAAAAAATACAAAGGGAAAAAAAACCGAAAACTTATTACGGAATGACCCAAAAAAAAAAATCAAAAAAACGTATATAACTTCTAAAAAAATTCACCGAATTCTTATGAAACTTTGTAAATATGTTTTTTCCTATGAATTAAACCCTTTAAAAACGAAAAATACAAATTTGGAGAAAAAAGCATTCACCTATTACGGAATGACCCAAAAAAAAATTTTTTAAAAACGGTTAAAACTTCTAAACGAATTAATGAATCGTTATAAAAATTTGTAATTACGTTTTTTGCTGTAAATAACATCCTTTAAAGGCGAAAAAATTCAAATTTAGAAAGAAAAGCGAAAACTTATTACGGAATGACCCCAAAAAAATCCAAAAAACGGTTATAATTTCTAAACGAATTAATGAATCGTTATAAAATTTGTAATTACGGTTTTTACTATAAGTAACAACCTTTAATACAAAAAAATTCAAATTTAGGGAAAAAAGTGTACAATTGTTACGGAATGACCCAAAAAAAAAAATTCAAAAAACGGTTATAAGTTCTAAAGAAATTAACGGATGGTCATGGAATTTGATAATTATGTTCCTTGCAATGGCTAACAACTTTTAAAGACAAAAAAATTATAAATTTAAAAAAAAAACGTAAAATTATTACGGAATGACCCCAAAAAAATCCAAAAAAATGTATGTAACTTTTAAACGAATTAATGAATCTTTATAAAAATTTGCAATTACGTTTTTTTGCTACTATTACCACCCTTTAATGGCGAAAAAAATTCTAATTTAGGAAAAAAAAGCAGAAAATTATTATGGAATGACCCCAAAAAAATCCAAAAAACGGTTATAATTTCTAAACGAATTAATGAATCGTTATAAAATTTGTAATTACGTTTTTTACTATAAGTAACACCCTTTAGTACAAAAAAATTCATATTTAGGGAAAAAAGTGTACAATTGTTACGGAATGACCCCAAAAAAAAATTCAAAAAACGATTATAAGTTCTAAAGAAATTCACGGATGGTCGTGGAATTTGATAATTATGTTCCTTGCAATGGCTAACAACCTTTAAAGACAAAAAAATTAAAAATTTTGAAAAAAAACGTAAAATTATTACGGAATGACCCCAAAAAAATCCAAAAAAATGTATGTAACTTTTAAACGAATTAATGAATCTTCATAAAAATTTGTAATTACGTTTTTTTGCTACTATTACCACCCTTTAATGGCGAAAAAATTCTAATTTAGGAAAAAAAAGCAGAAAATTATTATGGAATGACCCAAAAAAAAAAATCCAAAAAACGGTTATAACTTCTAAAGAAATTAACGGATCTTTATGAAACTTAATAATTATGTTTTTTATCAAGAAGATATCCTTTTAAAATCAAAAAAACACAAATTTAGGGAAAAAAACGTAAAATTATTATGGAATGACCCCAAAAAAATCCAAAAAAAGGTTATAACTTCTAAAGAAATTAATGGATCTTTATAAAAGTTGATAATTATGTTCTTTGCAATGACTAACAACCTTTAAAGACGAAAAATACAAATTTTTGAAAGAAAAGTTAACACTTGTTACGGAATGACCCCAAAAAAAAATCCAAAAAGCGCTTTTAAAATCTAAAAAAAATTAACGAATCGTTATGAAACTTGGTAATTATGTGATTTGCTATAAATAAAATCTTTTAAAGACAAAAAATTTAAATTTAGAAAAAAAAACGTAAAATTATTACGGAATGACCCCAAAAAAAATCAAAAAAATGTATGTAACTTTTAAACGAATTAATGAATCTTTATAAAAATTTGCAATTACGTTTTTTTGCTACTATTACCACCCTTTAATGGCGAAAAAATTCTAATTTAGAAAAAAAAAGCAGAAAATTATTATGGAATGACCCAAAAAAAAAAAATCCAAAAACGGTTATAACTTCTAAAGAAATTAACGGATCTTTATGAAACTTAATAATTATGTTTTTTATCAAGAAGATATCCTTTTAAAATCAAAAAAACACAAATTTACGAAAAATAGAAAAACATTGTAACGGAATGACCCCAAAAAAAATCCAAAAAACTCTTATAACTTCTAATGAAATTAACGTATCTTTATGAAACTTGATAATTATGTTATTTACTAAGAATATAACCTTTTAAAATCAAAAAATACAAATTTTGAAAAAAAATTCCAAAAACTTATTTTACCGAATGACCCCAAAAAAAAAAATCCAAAAAACGGTTATAACTTCTAAAGAAATTAACGAATCGTTATGGAACTTGATAATTATCTTCTTTGCAATGACTAATAACCTTTAAGGGCAAAAAAATTATAAATTTCGAAAAAAAATTTCAAAAACTTATTACGGAATGTCTCAAAAGAAATTTTTTTTTTTTTTTTTATAAATTCCAGACTGAAAAAATTTCAACAGAGGATATAAAATGTGGAGAATATTTATATGCGGTTCTAACATTGACACTAACTTTAATAATAATAATAATAACAATAATAATAATTGGTGAAGGCGGGGTAATTTGACACACCATGGGGCAAATTCGAACAAGAAATATTTCAACTCTACCCCGTGCTGTTGCTTATTAACTCCATAATTCTTTTTCTATCAAACGTTCTGGTTGGAATACGATTCTTGTTTCAAAAATTTCACTTCTTGAAACTTAACCTAATTCTCCTTTTACAAAACAGCTTCCTAACATTTTTTTTTTCTAATTATTATTATTATTTTCTTTCTTCTTTTCCTATTAAGAACCATTTCCTTTCTCTATTTTATTTTTATGAGAAATTTTTCTTCTTTTTTTTTCTTGGGTGAAAATTTGGTTTTTATTTTCTCTATTTCAAATATTATTTGAAATTTATTTAATTTATTTGGAAAAATTATTATTTATTTTGTAGGAAAATTATTTTATTTCAAAAATTGTTTATTTTATTTGGAAAATTATTTTATTTGAAAAATTATTTATTTTATTTAGAAAATTATTTATTTATTTTTTTTAGGAAAAGTATTTTATTTGGAAAATTATTTATTTTATTTGAAAAATTGTTTATTTTATTTGCAGAATTATTTATTTTATTTAGAAAATAATTATATATTTTTTTAAGAAAAGTATTGTATTTGGAAAATTATTTCTTTTTTTAGGAAAAGTATTTTATTTAGAAAATTATTTATTTTTGTAGGAAAATTATTTATTTTATTTGGAAAATTATTTATTTTATTAGGAAAATTATTTATTTTATTTGGAAAATTATTTATTTTTGTAGGAAAATTATTTTTTTTTTTTTTGGGGAAAAAAAAAAAATTCATTACTTTGTTCACAGTTGAGAGAGGTGGTCTTCATCCCAACGATGAACAGCAAATTATTGAAAGATGCTTCCCTCTACCATCCCCGGGCAATTTGATGCTGTCGGAACTTCCGGAGCCGCCGATTCCTCTCAGCGAAATTGGACCTATTCCCCCGCCTCCAATGTTTAGTTCTCCAAGTCCCACGTCTCTTTCCAGACAGCAGCAACAGCAGCAGCAACAGTCGATGCCCCTTTCTGACTGCGAGGACGATGGTAAATTCAAATTTTCCCATTTTTTTTTTTTTTTTTTTTTTGCTTTTATCAATAAATTTACACAATTAATTATATTGATTTTTTATTTGACTGACAATAAATATTTTGTCATTAATTTTAATTATTAATTGATTAAATTAACAATTTAATTATTTAATTAATTTTCAATTTATTTATTTTAATTAATTTTTATAATTAATTTAATGTTGAAATAATTAAAATAAATAAATTGAAAAATTAATTAATTTAATAAATTAAAAACAAAAAATACCTATTACTGTTTTAAGTACAAAATTTATAAACTGAATAAATAAATAAAATTGTATCTCTTTTAAAATTACAAATTATTTTGAAAATTTAAATCTAAAAATTCTTTGCAAAATTAATTATTTTCAAATAATTTGAATAAAATTCTTCGCCAATTTAATAATTTTCAAATAATATTAATCAAATTTAAATATAATTTTTATCTAATTTTTTTCAAAAAAATTTAAATTTTTTTAAATAAAATATTCAACCTATTTCCTACAAAATACTTTTTTTTTCCTGTAAATATGAATAAAAAAAAAAAAAAAAAAAAAATGGCATTTTTTTAGATGAGGACGCTGACGTTGAGGATGAGGACGACAGTATGTACGGTTTTCGAAATGTTTATCCTGATCCTGTATTCGACACTTCACGAGTCGAGGAAATTCCCGCGAAGGAGCCCAAATTTCATGCCATGCCCCTGAAAAGTGCTCTAAAAAAGAAAGGACCCGGTAGTGGACCTGGAACCCCTCAAAATACTCCAACGCAGGAAAATAGGCCGCTCACACTTCGTCAAGAACTCCATGCATCATTCAAGTAAGAAACACAAAAAAAAAAAATTGTCAAAAGAAATTTTAATTTCTATTGTGTTTGATCCTAAACTCGATTTTTCCTTCCTTTTTGTTTTTTATTTCAATTTACAATCTGTTGTCTCAAGATAGTTTTACGTTATTGAACTTAAAAAATGAATAATAAATAAGTAAAAATTAATAGAAAATATTTTTAAAAAAATCGGTTGAAAAATTGTATTAAAAAAAAAGAAAAAATTAATATCGAATTCTTTTGTTTCGGTTTTTTGAATAAAAATTCAATTTAAATAATCGTTTGGAAAAAAGAAACACAAGGCCAATTAATTTAAAAATTTTTTGTTTTAGATGTTTTTTTTTTTTAAATATTAAGAAAATTTCTAGAAATTGGAATTTTATTTATTATTGTAATAGTTTGAATTTTTTTTTTCGAATTTACATTTGTTTAATAATTAAAATAAAATGCTTTTTTTTCTTGAATTTCAAAAAAATTATTTTCGCGAAAAAATGTTTTATTTCTGTAAAATGATTTTATGGAATTAAAAAGGCGTACAGGCCGTGGAATTTTTTTTACATTTTTTTTTTTTTTTTTACAAAATTTTTAAACAAAATACATTTCTTTAGTATTTAATGCAGATATTCTTCAGATCTTCTTTATTTCAATTATTTAACAAATTTTTAACTAAAATTCTTCACAAAATTAATAATTTTTAATAATTTTAATGAAATTCTACGAAAATTCAATTATCTGAAAGAATTTTTCAATTAAAAACTTTTGAAATTCAATATTTTTATGTAATTTCTAATAAATTCTTCGTCAACAAAAATCACTAAAAATTTCTTTTTTTATAATTATTGTCTGAAATTTAACACAATCTTTTAAAGTTCAATTATTTTCCAAAATTTCAATTGAAAATCAATTATTTTCAAAATTTTCAAAAAATTTAATTCCAAAATCAATTAAAATTCAATTTTTTTCAAAAATTACAATAAAAATTCAATTATTTTCAAATTTTTCAATTCAAAACAAACTAAAATTCAATTATTTAAAAAATTTTAATTCAAAATCAATAAAAATTCAATTATTTAAAAAATTTTAATTCAAAATCAATAAAAATTCAATTATTTAAAAAATTTTAATTCAAAATCAATTAAAATTCAATTTTTTTAAAAATTTTGTAATTAAAAATCAACTAATTTTTTTTCAAAATTATTAATTCAAAAATCAACTAAAATTCAATTATTTTCAAAATTTCTAAAAATTTAAATTCAAAAATCAATGAAAATTCAATTATTTTCAAAAGTATTCATTCAAAATCAACTGAAATTGAATTATTTTCCAAAATTTCAATTCAAAATTAATTAAAATTCAATTGTTTTCAAAAATTTCAATTGAAATTCAATTATTTTCCAAAATTTCAATTCAAAATTAATTAATATTTAATTGTTTTCAAAAATTTCAATTAAAATTCAACTATTTTCAAAATTTTCAAAAATTTTAATTCCAAAATCAATTAAAATTCAATTTTTTTCAAAAATTACAATAAAAATTCAATTATTTTTAAATTTTTCAATTCAAAACCAACTAAAATTCAATTATTTAAAAAATTTTAATTCAAAATCAATTAAAATTCAATTTTTTTTTTAAATTTTGTAATTAAAAATCAACTAATTTTTTTTTCAAAATTATTAATTCAAAAATCAACTAATTTTTTTTCAAAATTATTAATTCAAAAATCAACTAAAATTCAATTATTTTCAAAATTTCTAAAAATTTAAATTTAAAAATCAATGAAAATTCAATTATTTTCAAAAGTATTTATTCAAAATCAACTAAAATTGAATTATTTTCCAAAATTTCAATTTAAAATCAAGTAAAATTCAATTTTTTCAAAATAATTAATTCAAAATCAACTAAAATTCAATTATTCAAAAAAATTTAATTCAAAATCAATTAAAATTTAATTATTTTCAAAATTTTCAACTGAAATTTAAATATTTTCTAAAATTTCAATTCAAAATTAATTAAAATTTAATTGATTTCAAAAATTTTTAATTGAAATTCAATTATTTTCAAAATTTTCAAAAATTTAAATTCTAAAATCAATTGAAATTAAATTCTTTTTAAAAATTTCAATAATAATTCAATTATTTTCAAATTTTTCAATTCAAAGCCAACTAAAATTCAATTATTTAAAAAATTTCAATTTAAAATCAATTAAAATTCAATTTTTAAAAAAAAATTTTAATTAAAAATTAACTAAAATTTATTTCAAAATTATTAATTCGAAACCAACTAAAATTCAATTGTTTTCATTAATTTCGATTTAAAAGCTTGTAAAATTTTCCATCTAAAATTTTTTTTTAAATTTTATTATTTCAATTACATATAATTCTTTTGAAATTCAATTATTTTTAATAATATTTATAACATTCTTCGAAAATTCAACTATGTGAAACCATTTTTTATTAAAAAAATTTTCAATTATTGTTTTTTTTGTCTACAATTTCTAATAAATTTTTTTAGTAAAATCATAAAAAATTTTCAATTAAAAATCACTTGTAGTTCAATTAATTTCAAAAATAAAAATTTTTAAATCTTTGAAAATTCAACTACTTTAGAAAATGTTATTGAAAATAATTTGATAAATTATTTTTAGTTCTGTAATATTTAATTATTGTCTGAAAATTAAGAAAAATCTTTGGAAATTCAATTATTTCTAAAAATTTCAACTCTAACTCTTCCTAAATTAGTATTATTTAAAAAAAAAATAATTTTTATTTAAAAATTTGTAAAACTTAATTAAGTATTGCCTGAAATTTTTTTTCGATCATCAAAACTAAAAACTATGAGAAAATTTTGAAATTTGAAATAATTTGCTTAAATCAGATTTGAAAAAAAATTATAAAAATGGAAAGTTAAGAATTTTTTTTTCGAAATTTGTTCTACTAAAATAGAATTTTGAAAATTTTTTCTTTTAGTTCGATTATGAAATAGAAATAAATTTTTTTTTGATAATATTCATTATAGAATTATTCTCATTACAGAATTAATAAAATGAATTTAATATCTAATAAAATTAGTTATTTAAAGTAAAATATTTCATTAACCAATTAAATTTTGTTAAAATAAAAAAAATTGACTTTTTCAATTTTTTTTTTTTTTTTTTGAATATAAATTGCCTTTTTTTTGCGTTAAAGTCGATCTAAGGCCTGGAGCGTAAATAGTAGAGAATAATTTTTTCCTTCTACTTTTTCGATGGGAAAAAAATCGAGGCAAATGATTGAACAAAAAAAAAAAACAACAAAACATTATTTTAGTCTCTCCCAGTAGATAGATCGTTAAATCATTATCATACATTTTTCATAACATTTGTCAGTCACTAGTAAAGAGGTCGTATTTTTCTTATGCTTAACCAGAAGACAGCCTCTTAGGCCTAGGATGAGGATATGGTAATTGAACTCGTTTCAATAAATAAATATTTATTACTATTATTACTATTATTATTATTCTTATTATTATTATTACGAATGAATAAAAAAAAAAAGCATGCGTACATCGAATTTTCCCAAAAATTCGATGGTTGATTGCAAGGTAACCAAATTGTTCTCTCTTTTACAATTATATTATATATTAAGCATGAGAAAAGATCACAAATTAAATTTTTAACGACATTAATTTATTAATTATCATTCAAAAGAAAAAAAAAATTATTTATTAAATATAAATAATTATAGTAATTATTGTTTTAATTTTTACAATTATTATAACATGTTGATTTCAATTATTATTCTAATATTATAATAAAGTAAAAATTTTTCAATTATTTTTTTATAAAAATAAAATTATAACAGTTTTAAAATATAAATTATTAGATATTTTTGATATACAATGAAAATCAGTATTTTTATTACAATTATTATTTTAAAAAATAATTATTGTTTTGAAATATAGTAATTATTTAAAATAAAAATAGTAATCGTATTAAAATATAATAATTTTTTAAAAATAAAAAAAATTTATCTCAAAATAAAAGAATTATTTGAAATTATAATAATTATTATCAACAAAATATCGTATTATCATATATATATATAAATCGTCAATAAAAAAAACAGAAGACAAATTACATATATACACAAAGTCACAAAGTCACAAAAAAAAAAAAAAATGAAAAATCGATGAGCAAATTCATTTTCGATCGTTTTACATTTCAAAGTCATTTTAGAGTAGAACATTGGTTCACGGGTCGTCAACGAATTTATCGTTTCTAATTTTGTGATAATTGTTTTCTAATTGTTTCTCTATATATATAAATTGCAGCAGTCGACCAGTCAGATTTGGATTGGCTCTTCCTTGTACAATGGAGAATAAAGAGAATGCAAGGCCGTATGTAATACGAGAAGATTCGGACGATGAATCCGGAGATGGACAGGTTCTTTACAGAGAGGATTATGACGATGAAAATAGTGAGTAAATCTATTTACATATATAATTATATAAATATTGAGCAAAAAAAAGTAAATATAATTAATACATTTTTTTTTTTTGTTTAAAATAATCAAAATAAATTTTATATTTAAAATAATAAAAATAAATTTTATTTTTAAAAATAATAAAATAAATTTTTAAAGTAAATTGAATTTTAAAATAATAAAAATAAATTTTATTTTTGAAATAATAAAATAAATTGAATTTTAAAATATAAAAACAAATTTTTAAATAAATAAAAAATAAAATTTATTTATTTTATACAAAATTTTTTGAGGCGCATATAATAAAATCATAAAAATAAATAAATAAAATTAAAAAAAAAAAAAAAAAAAAAACCATAAAAATCATTAATTAGAATTTTTATCTGAAATTGTTAATTTTTAGACAAATTTTCATTTTTCGAAATAACAATATTAACAGAATTTCATTTTTTTTTTTTAACACAGTTTTACTTTAAAAAATTTTTAGCTACTAACTTTTTCAAAATAACAATAATAACAGAATTTTGTGTTAATTTTTACTTAATAAAATTTTTAGCTACCAAATTTTTGCCAGAATTTTTATTTTACAGTCATTTAATTTAAATGACAAAAATTTTGGTAACTAAAATTCTTCACTAAATTAATTATTTTCAAAAATTTCAATTGCAAATTCAATTATTTTTAAAATTTTCAATTCAAAATCAACGGAAATTCAATTATTTACCAAAAATTTCAATTCAAAATCAATTGAAATTCAATTATTTTTCTAATTTTCAATTTAAAATTAATTAAAATTCAATTATATTTAAAAATTTCAATTCAAGATCAGATAAAGTTTAATATTTTTTAAAACTTTTAATTCAAAATCAACTAAAATTTAATTATTTTTTAAAATTTAAATTCAAATTTTATTTTTTCAAATATTTCAATTCAAAATTAATTAAAATTCAATTATATTTAAAAATATCAATTCAAAATCAGATAAATTTTAATATTTTTCAAGATTTTCAATTCAAAATCAACTAAAATTTAATTATTTTCCAAAATTTTAATTCAAATTTTATTTTTTCAAATATTTCAATTCAAAATTAATTAAAATTCAATTATATTTAAAAATTTCAATTCAAAATCAGATAAATTTTAATATTTTTCAAGATTTTCAATTCAAAATCAACTAAAATTTAATTATTTTCCAAAATTTAAATTCAAATTTTATTTTTTCAAAATTTTCAATTCAAAATCAATTAAAATTCAATTATTTTCAAATTTTAGTTCAAAATAAACTAAAATCCATTTTTTTCAAAATTTCAATTCAAAATCAATTATTTTCAAAATTTTTAATTCAATAATTCAAAATAAACTAAAATTCAATTATTTTCAAAAATTTTAATTTATAATAAATTGAAATTCAATTATTTTCCTAATTTTTAATTTAAAATAAATTAAAATTCAATTCTATTTAAAAATTTCAATTCAAAATCAGATAAATTTTAATATTTTTCAAAATTTTCAATTCAAAATCAACTAAAATTTAATTATTTTCCAAAATTTAAATTCAAATTTTATTTTTTCAAAATTTTCAATTCAAAATTAATTAAAATTCAATTATATTTAAAAATTTCAATTCAAAATCAGATAAATTTTAATATTTTTCAAATTTTTCAATTCAAAATCAACTAAAATTTAAATATTTTCCAAAATTTTAATTCAAATTTTATTTTTTTAAAATTTTCAATTCAAAATCAATTAAAATTCAATTATTTTCAAATTTTAGTTCAAATTAAACTAAAATTCAATTTTTTGTAAAATTTCAATTCAAAATCAAATATTTTCAAAATTTTTAATTCAAAATAAACTAAAATTCAATTATTATCAAAATTTTTAATTCAAAATCCACAAAAATTTTGATAGCTAAAAATTTTTTTGTTAATATTGCTAATTTAAAAAATAAAAATTCATCTAAAAATTAATATCTGATAAAATTCTTGGAAATGAAAATTGTAATAAATTTTTTTTTTTTTTTTGGAATAAAAAGAATAATAGGAATAAATAAAAATAATAAAATAATAAAAAAAAAAGATAAATAATAATTTAATTATAATAATTACAAATTTTAATTACAAATTTTTGAAATAAAAAAAAAAATATTTTTTTAGTATTTCAAAATATTGCTTTTTGAAATATTCGAAAATAATTATTTATTTATTAAAATATTAATATTGTGAAATTTTTATGTTTTTTTAATTTTTTTTTTTCAAAAACTTTAGAGAATTATTAGAAAATTTTATTTTTTTTGTGAATTTGTAACAAAAAAAAAAATAAAAAAAATTTTTTGAAAACATGTTTGAAATTTCAATTATTTTGTATACAATTTATAAACGAAATTCTCGAATTTCGCTTGACGTAATGAAACATCGCGTATCTGAGATTGAAATCAAATATATATATATAAATCTGGGATTAAAATCAAAAGCATTTAATCTACAATTGTTAATCAGCGTTTTCTAAACTCATCGAAAAGTTGAATGAACGTTTATCTCCGGGCAAACTAATCACTTTATCGTGATGAGAGAAGCGTGCCGATCGAAACCTCTTCTTCATCTTCTCTTTTCTCAATTCACTTCCATATATTATAAACGAGAGTTTCCTGATTGCTCAAGTTTTCAAATAAGTCTCATCCGCCTAAACTAATTATATTCTATATATATATATATATATTTGAAAAGCGCACACAACTTTTGAGTTTCGCGATTCTCGACACGACAAAATCTGCACCTTGAAGTTTATATTAATCCTCGAATATTAGCTTGGCAACAAGCTTCAGTGTCTTTTTGACTCTTGTGTTTTATTCCCGAAGTTCGCGTTCGTATTTTTCGATTTGTAAGAAAACGTGCTTTTTTCGTTTTTATTTATTTTTATTTCGAGAAAAAAGAAAATTCGGAATTAAAAATTTTCTCCTCAATATATTTCTCGGGATAATTATAATTTAATAAAAAAAAAAAAAAAACTATTCTAACTAAAAAACTAGCTTCCAATCTCGTTTGGGACACACTTAAAAATTATTTTCTTATTATTAATTTAGAAATAAATAATTTTTTTTTGTATTAAATAAATTTTTGTAATTTTTTTTTTGTATTAAATAAATTTTTATAATTTTTTTTTTATATTAAATAAATTTTTAGAAGGGTCTACTGGACCCATGGTGCCAGTTAAGGGATTAAAAAAAATAATTAAATAAATTTTATATATATATATTTTTTTTTGTTATAAAAATTATTTTCTACTTATTAAATATATTTTTATAATTTTATATTAATTTTATATTAGATATTATATTTATATTATTTATATTATATTATTATTATTTAAAAGCAGAGGAAATAAAAAAGAAGTAAAAAATATGAAAATTTATTATTTATATTTGTACTAATTTTAATATTTTATATTGAACAATATATAATATTACAAATTTAAATAAATAAAAAAAATAAATAAATATTAATTTTTTAAATATTATAAATATTGAAAATAAAAATTATTTTTAAATATTATAAAAATTGAAAATAAAAATTATTTTTAAATATTATAAAAATTGAAAATAAAAATTATTTTTAAATATTATAAAAATTAAAAATATAAATTATTTTCTAATATTTTCTAATATTAAAATAAATATTAAAATTTTCTATTTTCATTTAATTTCATTTTATTTGTTTTTCATTTTTATATAATTATTTTTGCAATTAACAAATTTTTTCCGTTTCTTCAAATTTGATATTTTTAATTTTTTTTTTTTCTTAAATTTCTCTCTAATTCATATATTTTTCTTCAAATTTTTTTTTAATGAATTATTTAATTTAATACGTCAATGTTTTCGTAAATTTTTTCAAAATTTTTATTCACATTTTCTTTTTTCTTTTTTTTTTGTTGAAATTATCCATTTTTGAAATTTTTCTTGCACTTTTGAAAAAAATTTAATTTATTTTCTTGTTTTAGTGAAATTGTGAAGTGAATTTTTTTTTTTTCTATAAAGTTAAGAGTTAAAAATAATTATTATTAATTAAAATTAAAAACGAAAAGAAAAAAAAATTGCATTTGTCTTTGAAATTTATTGTTCTGTGACTGTAACTTGTTTAGAAAATTACGAAACTTGATTTGGCTTGAGGGACATGTCGCGTCAAATCTTTTGTTAGCTTCTTTAGAAAATAGATAAACATTATATATATATATATATATATATATATATATATATATATATATATATATATATATTTCAAGAGTGCAAAAGTCTTGCTAATTAAATATAAAAAAGAAAATATTAATTAATCTTCTTTAAATTCATTGTATTCTCCTCAAAAAAAAAAAAAAATTCTTGAAATTTCTCTTCAATTCTTTTTGATTTTATTTATTTTTATTTTAGCTTTAATTTTGATTTTAGAATTAATTTTTTTTTTTAATTAAATTTTCATATCTAAATATCTTTAAACGTTGAAAATTTGAAAATAATTATTCCGATAAATTAATAATAATAATGATAATATAATAATATAATAGTAATAATAATAATAATAACAATAATAATAATAATATAATTAATAATTTTATTTTTACTTTTATTTTACATTCATTTTGTATTTTAAAATTTTAATTTTATTAATTTTTATTTTTGAATTTTTTTTTTTTTTACTGATATTTCAGGTTTAATTTTGTTTTTAAATTTTATTAATTTTTTTAATTTCGATTTTATTTACTATTATTTTAGTTTTAATTTTGTTTTTAAATTTTATTAATTTTTTTTGTATTTTACTTTTAATTTTTTATTCATCATAAATATTTTTATAAGCGTTGAAAATTTTTGGAAAATAAATTATTTCCGATAATTTAGTCAGTGAATTGAAAATAAATATTTATTTATTAAACCGGAAGTAATTTTCACACCACTGAATAGTTGAAGAAGGAGAAAAAAAAAAAAACAAAAACAAAAACCGTTTATTAACTTAACTGGATAGAACATTTTTATCACAGTAGACCGGAAGTAAATTTTATCACGATAAATCGGAAGTAATTTTTATCTGAACGAATTAAAAGTAATTTTTATCATAGCCAACCGGAAGTAATGTTTATTACGATAATGAATCGTGTGTGTAATTCAAATTTACAATGAACTGGAATTAATTCTCGTAATGGGATTTGAAACTAAATTAACAACAATAATAGTAATTAATAATACTAAATAATAATAATAATAATAATAATAATAATAATAATAATAATAATAAAAATAAATAATAATACAATAATTAATAAAATAATAACAATAATTACAATTATAATAATAGAAAATAATTATTATAATTATAATAAAAAATTATTATTATTATTATTATAAAAAAATACAATTATAATTGTAATAAAAATTATTATTATTATTATTATTATTATTATTATTATTATTATTATTATAGAAAAAAAATAATTATTTTAATTATAATAAAAAAAGAATAATAATTATTAGGATAATAAAATAAAAATTATTGATAATTAATAGTAATAATAATAATAATGATTATATTATGCTGTCAATATGGACGGCATCGACAATGTCGATCGCGTGTGCAACAATTGCAACTTTTGATCAACAGCCACTTTTACGAAGAAGCAAAAGCTGTTCGGCAATTGTTGAGGGTAAAAAAAGAAGGAAAAAAAAAAATATGTGTGTTAAAATTTGTTATTGAGAAAAATAAATTTTTTTTTTAACAAGATTTTTTTTTCTTTTCATTCATTTTTTTTGTTTTTGGTGATTTCTTTAGGTAGCCTGGCAACGAAAATTGCTCGTAAGGAGTCGCTCTCGTTGAAGCTTGCCCTAAGGCCTGATCGTCAGGAACTCATCAACAGAAATATCCTTCAGATACAATCTGACAATGAGAGGCAAGAGACGAAGGAAGCCATTGGTGCCAAGCTCATCAGGTTTGTATATACATATATGTTTATATATATATATATATACTTTGGAAATTACTGTCTTAACTACTTTTTTTTTGTCTATAGTCTGAGGAATGTAATTTTATTTTATTTTTTTGGGAATGAAAAAAATTTATAGGAAAGAAAATTTTTTTTTCGTACAATATGGTACGAAATACTGATATACTAGGAAAAATTTTATTTATTTATTTATTTATTTATTATTAATAAGTAAAACGAGATGCATAAATAAAGCTGAATTTTTTGTTCGAATTATGTTTTTTGATATGAAACGCGTTAAAGGCGTTAAAATAGAAATTTAAGAAAAAAAATTATTACGGAATGACCCCAAAAAAATTCCAAAAAACGGTCATAACTTTTAAACAAATTAACAAATCGTTCTGAAATTTGGCAATTATGTTCTTTGCTATGAATTTCATTTTTTGAAGTAAAAAAAAAAATACAAATTTAGAATAATAAGCAAAAACTTATTACGGAATGACCCCAAAAAAATTCAAAAAACAGTTATAACTTTCAAAAAAAATTACCGAATCGTTATGAAACTTGATAATTATGTTACTTGCCATGAATAAAAACTTTTAAAGGCAAAAAATTCAAATTTAGGAAAAAAAACCTAAAGTTATTATGGAATGACCCCAAAAAAAATACAAAAAAACGGTTATAACTTCTATAAAAATTAACGGATCGTTATGAAATTTGAAAAATATGTTTTTTACTATGAATTATATACCCTTTAGAGACTAAAAATATAGATTTAGAAAAATAAGCAAAAAATTATTACGGAATAACTCGAAAAAATTCAAAAAACAGTTAGAAATTTCGAACAAATTTACGGTTCGTTACGTAACTTAGTAGTTATATTATTTGCTATGAATAAACTTTTTAAAAGGTAAAAAATACAAATTTTGGGAAAAAAACCGAATACTTATTACGGAATGACCCACAAAAAAAAAATCCAAAAAACTCTTATAACTTCTAAAAAATTTACCGAATTCTTATGAAAATTTGCAAATATGTTTTTTGACATGAATTACACTCTTTAAAAACGAAAAATACAAATTTAGAGAAAAAAGCGTTCACCTATTTCGGAATGACCCAAAAAAAATAAAAAAAAAAACGGTTAAAACTTCTAAATGAATTAATGAATTGTTATAAAAATTTGTCATTACTTTTTTTTGCTATAAATAACACCCATTACAAGCGAAAAAAATTGAAATTTATGAAGAAAAATCTAAAATTATTACGAAATAACCCAAAAAAAAATCCAAAAAACGGTTACAACTTCCAAAGAAATTAACGAAACCTTCTGAAATTGGGCAATTATGTTTTTGCAATGAATTACACCCCAAAAAGACAAAAAAAAAAATACAAATTTCGGAAAATAAGCAAAAAAAAAAAAATTGTAACGGAATAACCCAAAAAAAAAATTCAAAAAACAGTTATAACTTCTAAAAAAAAATTAACGGATCATTATGAAACTCGGTAATTATATTCTTTGCAATGACTAACAACCTTTAAAATCAAAAAAACTCAAATTTACGAAAAAAAAAACGTAAAATTATTATGGAATGACCCCAAAAAAATCCAAAAAACGGTTATAACTTCTAAAGAAATTAACGGATCCTTCTAAAATTGGGCAATTATTTTTATTGCAATAAATTACACCCCTTAATGACAAAAAAATACAAATTTGGGAAAAATAGAAAAACATTATAACGGAATGACCCTAAAAAAAATCCAAAAAACTCTTATAACTTCTAAAGAAATTAACAAATCCTTCTAAAAGTGGGTAATTATGTTTTTGCAACGTATTACACCTCAAAAAGACAAAAAAAAATACAAATTTAGGAAAATAAGCAAAAAAAAATTGTAACGGAATAACCCCCCAAAAAAAATTCAAAAAACAGTTATAACTTCTAAAAAAAATTAACGGATCGTTATGAAACACGGTAATTATATTCTTTGCAATGACTAACAACCTTTAAAATCAAAAAAACTCAAATTTACGAAAAAAAAAAACGTAAAATTATTATACCCCAAAAAAAAATCCAAAAAACGGTTCTAACTTCTAAAGAAATTAACGAATCCTTCTGAAATTAGGCAATTATTTTTTTTTGCAATAAATTACACCCCTTAATGACAAAAAAATACAAATTTACGGAAAAATAGAAAAACATTGTAACGGAATGACCCCAAAAAAAAAATCCAAAAAACGGTTCTAACTTCTAAAGAAATTAACGAATCCTTCTGAAATTAGGCAATTATTTTTTTTGCAATAAATTACACCCCTTAATGACAAAAAAATACAAATTTACGGAAAAATAGAAAAACATTGTAACGGAATGACCCCAAAAAAAATCAAAAAAACTCTTATAACTTCTAAAGAAATTAACGGATCCTTATGACACTTGGTGATTATATTCTTTGCAATGACTAACAACCTTTAAAGGCAATAAATAAAATTTCCGAAAAAAGCGAAAAATTATTACGGAATGATCCCAAAAAAAAAACCAAAAAACGGTTATAACTTCCAAAGAAATTAACGAAACCTTCTGAAATTGAGTAATTATGTTTTTGCAACGAATTACACCCCTTAATGACAAAAAAATACAAATTTAGAAAAAATAGAAAAACATTTTAACGGAATGACCCCAAAAAAATACAAAATACTCTTATAACTTCTAAAGAAATTAACGGATCCTTATGAAACTTGTTAATTTTATTCTTTGCTATAAATAACACCTCTTAAATTCCAAAAAAAAAAAAAAATTCAAATTTTGAAAAAAACGTACAATTATTACCAAATGTCCCTAATAAAATTCAAAAAATAAATTTTTGTTTGAATTTTCTTTTCTAAATTTTTGGTTGTATAAAACATTTTGTAACATAAAAATTCGGTAATAATTTATATATATTATTATTATTATTATTATTATTATTATTATTATTATTATTATTATTATTATTATTATTATTATTACTATATTTATATCCTTTTAGGCGACTGAGCATGCGACCAACTCAAGAGGAACTGGAAGAAAGGAATATTTTAAAAAGTACGTAAATTAAAATTTGTTTTAATTTTTTATTTATTTTTAAAATTATTGTATAGAAATAATTTGAAATTTGAAATTAGAAATAAATTAAATATTTCTAAAATTATCTAATGATCTAAATGGGGCTTTTTTTTGTCCTTATGTATTTTAAATAAATTTTATTCACAGAGCAAAGTCCGGCGGAAGAAAAGAAACAAAAGGAGGAGAAAAAACGATATTTGTTGAGAAAATTGAGCTTCCGACCGACGGTGGAAGAACTCAAAGAAAAGAAGGTAATAAATTTTTAAAAGAAAATAATTTTGTTTTTATTCAAAATCCAAATTTAATTCGATATTATTATTACTAAATAAATCAAATATTTACACCTTTTGAAAATGTAAATAATTTATTATTTTATTAAATTTAATTATTATTTTAGGAAATTAAATTTTTATTTTAAGAAATTAAAGAAATTATTGTTTTAATTAGAAATTTAGAAGAAAAAAAGATTCTAAAATAGAAAAATAACTTTTGATAATAATAATTATTTTCTACCCCCGTCATTCAGATCATCAGGTTCAATGATTACATCGAAGTGACGCAGGCACAAGATTATGATCGAAAAGGTGATAAGCCGTGGACTCGTTTAACTGCAAAGGACAAAGCAGCTATTAGAAAGGAATTGAACGAGTTTAAAAGTGCAGAAATGGCGGTTCATGAAGACAGTCGACATTTGACAAGGTAAATTTTGTCTTTTTTTTTTTTTTTTATTGTCCAATAAATAATTTTCTTATTTTTAATTTTTTAAACTTTGTGTCACGATCATTTTTTTCGAATAAAAAATGGTTCCAAATGATTTTTTTTCCCGACATTTTTTCAACTTTTAGACATTTTGTACATTGAAGATTTTTTTATTTTGGAAATTTTATATTTATTGCTATATTTTACTTTTGAACAATTTTTTTTTTACATTTTTGAACATTTTACTTTAGAAATTTTTATTTTAGTAATTTTACACTTTGGGACATTTTGTATTTAAATAAGTTTTTATTTTGGAAATTTTACATTTTAGGACATTTTATTTTTGGACATTTTGTACTTTAGGAATTTTTATTTTCAAAATTTTAAGCTTTGGGACATTTTATACTTAGGAAATTTTACAAATTGGGAAATTTTGTACTGAGAAAATTTAGACTTTGGGACATTTTATTTTTGGACATTTTGTACTTTAGGAATTTTCATTTTGGAAAATTTACACATTGGAACATTTTATTTTTTGATATTTTATACTTTTGGACATTTTGTAATTTGAGAATTTTTATTTTCGAAATTTTAAACTTTGGGACATTTTATACTTAGGAAAATTTGCAATTTGGGACAATTTGTACTGAGAAAATTTTACTTTGGGACATTTTATTTTTGGACATATTGTACTTTAAGAATTTTATAATTTGGGACATTCAATTTTTGGACATTTTATATATTCGGACATTTTATTCTTTGGAAATTTTACATTTTGGGACAATTTGTACTGAGAAAATTTTACTTTGGGACATTTTATTTTTAGACATATTGTACTTTAAGACTTTTATAAATTGGGATATTCAATTTTTGGACATTTTATATTTTCGAACATTTTATTCATTGGAAATTTTACAATTTGAGACAATTTTGTACTGAGAAAATTTTACTTTGGGACATTATATACTTTGAGACTTTTATTTTAAAAATTTTACACTTTGAGATATTTTATATTTTCTGACATTTTTTACTTTAACAATTTTTAATTTAAAAATTTTATAATTTAGGACATTTTACATTTGAATATTTCATTCCTTGGAAATTTTACAATTTGGGACAATTTTTACTGAGAAAATTTTACTTTAGGCCATTTTATACTTTGGAACATTTTATTTTTTCACTTTTTGTACTTTGAGAATTTTTATTCATGGCAAATTTACACTTTAGGACATTTTATTTTTGGATATTTTATATATTTGGACATTTTGTACTTTGGGAATTTTAATTTTGAACATTTTTATAATTTAGGACATTTTAAGTTTGAACACTTTATAATTTTGCAAATTTTACAATATGGAACAACTTGTACTGGGAAAATTTTACTTTGAGACATTTTATTTTTGGACATTTTGTACTTTGGGAATTTTTATTTTCGAAATTTTTAACTTTGGGACATTTCAAGTTTGAACACTTTATTCTTTGGAAATTTTACACTTTGGAAGAATTTTTACTGAGAAAATTTTACTTTGGGACATTTTTTAATTTGGGACTTTTATTTGAAATATTTTACACTTTGGGATATTTTATACTTTTAGACATTTTTTACTTAAGCAATTTTTAATTTGAAAATTTTATAATTTAGGACATTTTACATTGTAATATTTCATTCCTAAGAAATTTTACAATTTGAAACAATTTGTATTAGGAAAATTTTATTTTTGGACATTTTGTACTTTAGGAATTTTAATTTTAAACATTTTTATAATTTTGGACATTTCAATTTTGAACACTTTATTCTTTGGAAATTTTACAGTTTGGGACAATTTGAACTGAGAAAAATTTACTTTGGGATATTTTGTACTTTGGGACATTTTATACATGGGAAATTTTACAATTTGGGAGATTTTGAACTGAGAAAATTTTACTTTGGGACATTTTGAACTGAGAAAATTTTACTTTGGGACATTTTGAACTGAGAAAAATTTACTTTGGGACATTTTATACATGGGAAATTTTACAATTTGGAACATTTTGAACGATGAAAAATTTACTTTAAGACATTTTTTACTTTGAGACTTTTATTTTAAAAATTTTACACTTTGGGATATTTTATACTTTCAGACATTTTTTACTTTATCAATTTTTGATTTAGAAATTTTACATTTGAATATTTCAATCTTTTTTAAATTTTACAATTTAGAACAATTTTGTACTGGGAAAATTTTATTTTGTGACATTTTATATTTTGAGACTTTTATTTTAAAAATTTTACACTTTGAGATATTTTATATTTTTGTAGACAATTTTTTACCTTAGCAATTTTTAATTTGGGACATTTTACATTTGAATATTTCATTTCTTGTAAATTTTACAATTTGGGACAATTTGTACTGGGCAAATTTTACTTTGGGACATTTTATACTTTAGAACATTTTATTTTTTAACTTTTTGTACTTTGGGAATTTTTATTTTGAAAAATTTACAATTTAAGACGTTTTATTTTTGGATATTTTATATTTTTGGTTATTATGTACGTTGGGAATTTTAATTTTGAACTTTTTTTATAATTTGGGACATTTTGTAGTTTGAAAATTTTACTTTACACTTTGTATATTACTTTCGGAGATTTTGTACTTTAGAAATTTTGTACTTTAGAAAAAACAAATTAAAAATTTTTTAAAATTTGAAACTCTTGACTTAGAACTGTTATTTTGCAACTCTTTTTACCCGAATTTTAATTTTCTATTTCCCTAATAATAAACAAAAAAAAAAACAAACTGTAAATTGCATAATTTTCTTTTTTTTTTTGTTTGTTTAGGTTCCATAGGCCATGACAATTGAATTGTGTAGAGGTGCTAGAATGTGGTGCGGTTTTAGGTGCTGGTGCAGTGCATTGGTCTCGATCTTGTCGAGATTTAGTGAAACGAAATCGCTGCTTTTCAAATCATCCACAATGTTATGTGACAGTGATGATCTTCTGATTACGCTGTGACGCGCACTATTGACGTTAATATTATTATTATTATTATTATTATTATTATTATAATTCTTACTAAAAAAAAAACGCCAATGGAAAGCGTGTCAGTAGCTTCTCGATTGTGATAGGGTGGTGTTGATTTTTTTTTTTTTTTAAAAAAAAAAGGCCACGAAAAGAAAATCCTGGCTTACTCACCACTCGGCGATATATTTTTTTTAAGGGTCGTTCACATTTTGCATTCTCTATTTTTTATATTCCAGTTTTAATTTTTTTTTAAACAGCTCTTTCTCTCGTATTGTTGAGAAACTTTTTCTTTTTTTATTCTACTTTTTGGAAAAAAATATTTCTGGAATGAAAAATGAAAGATTAATTTCAATTATTTGAATAATTTATCATTGGCTTTTTAAATTGTTTTTAAAAGAGAATTGAAAAAATTAATTTGCTGTTAATATAATTTATTATTAAAATTTTTTTTATTAATATTAATTATATTAACAGTAAAAAATAATTTATTATTATTCAAATTAATTGAATTGATAAGGAAATAAAAAAGTCGTTAATAAATTTTACGATATTGAATTTTTGCAGGTTAAAAAAAAAAAAAGAGTTTGCAATGAAAAATATGGAGAAATTTCGAGAGTATAAGAGCATGTTACAAAGATTTTTTAATGTCAATCTTTGTAATTCTTTTTTTTTTTTTGTCCTATCGACGACGAATCTTTGTAAACATTATAAATATAAAATATAAATATAAATATATAAATATATATTTATATTAATTAGAGAGCAAAAACTGGATTGTGAACGCACCCTTACGCGTAAACACCGTTTTGCCTCCATTGTAGCTTACCGACCTTTTTTTAAATGATTTTTTTCTTTTTCTTTTTTTACTTTTTCCACCTCCGATGAAAATAAAGGAAACAACAAAGAAATTAAACATCGTGTTAAAAAAAATTTCTTTTTCAATTAATATTTGGAAAATTTAATTTAATTATCGAACAAAAAAAACATATTTTCAAATTTTATTTTTTTTTAACATTTTGGAAAATTTAGTTTAATTAGTAAAAAAAAAAAAATACAAATAATTTAATTTTTTACATATTTTCACAATTGAATTCGAAAATTTTGATTTAATCAATAAACACAAAACATAATTTAACAATTTAGAAAATTTTCAAATTCAATTTTTCTTGACATTTGAAAAATTTTATTTAATTAGTTAAAAAAAAAAGTTAATGTAACGTTTTAAAAAAATTTTCAGTTTAATTTTTCGAGGCGAAATATCGCATAAAAAAATTAATTAATTAGAATTTTTATTTTAAAGAATTTTATTAGAAATAAATTACTTTTTTTTAAAAATGAATTTTCAATTTTCCAATTAAAATTTCACAAAATTTTCTTTTTCTTTATACGAATTTTTACATAACAAAATTTTTACCTATCGAATTTTGCTTTGGTAGAATTTTTATTTTACAATAAAAATTCGGTAGCTTAAAATTTTCTTATGTAAAAAATTCGTATAAAAAAAGAAATTTTTGTGAAATGCTAATTTGAAAAATTTAAAAAAAATAAAATAAAATAAATAAAAATGAAAATTTGTTGATCAAATTTTATTGAAAGAAATAATATAAAAATGTCAACGAAGAATATTTTATCAAAAATGTGTAAAAACAAAAAAAAAAATTACATTTTATTGAAAAAATATGAAAATGCGTTTTTTTATCAAAAAAAAAAAAAAAAAAAAAAAAAATGATATAGAAAATATGTGCTTAAAAAAAAGAAAGAGCACTTTTTTAAAAAATAAAAATTTGTAAATATATTTTTTTAATGAAAAAAAAAAAGAAACAAAAATTCTTGGAACAAAAAATTAGGCAAATAAAGAAAAACAAGGAAAATAATTTAGTAGTAAAATGAAAATTTGTTTTAATTTAAATTTTAGAATTGAAGAAAAATATTTTTTAATTTTTAAATACCTATTTTTTTTAACAAAAAAAAAAAAAAAAAATTGGGTCGGCGAGCTACTTTGAAAAGCCGTAGCATTATTGTACATGTATAATATATATAATTATTATAAGAACAAAAAATGCGTTTCGTAAATGTTTTTTCAAAATAATTCCGAATGCAAAACATATACATATAATTAATTAATTAATTAATTGTTAGTTAATAACTATTAATTAATTATTTGTTAATAATTATAAATTAATTATTAGTTAATAATTAATTAATTAATACAATTCAAATGATTCTGAGCTTGATAAAAAAAGGATAACGATTTTCGCAAATTAATTCTCAATTTGCAGATTAAAATAAAAAAACTAAATTTTAATCTCTCTCTTTAAAAAAAAAAAAAAAAAAAAAACGCCAAGTTCTCATCTCACATGAAACTAAGTAACAACAAAAAATAAATCTTATTACAAGATTGTTTGGAAAAATATTTAAAAAAAAAAATAAAATAAAATTAGAAACGCTGAATCGAATCCAAGTATACGTGTTAGAAACAAAAAAAAATCAATTAACAACGATATAATTAACAGATAAGAAACAATACTTCTTTTCGCAATAATCGTTAACGAGCGTTGAACAAAAAAAAAGAAAGACAAATATACAACAATTGTTCTGTATATATTTATAAATATTAATAAAATTTTTTTTGCGACTTGTATTGCTGAAAATTGCTAAAACAATATTCGCAAAAAAAGAAATCCGAATGAAAAAACGATTTTCAAAAAAAAAAAAAAAAAAAAAAAATGAAAATACTATGGAAGAAATGCTAATTTCTAGCTACGCCACATTAAAGTGAATAATACATGTATAAATATATATTATAAATTATAATTGTATTATTATAATTTAAAAATTGTAAATTATATTTATAATTTTTATAATTACAAATTTATAATATATATAAATATACGGATATAAATTATAAATTTATAATGTATAAATATATAAATTATAAATATTATACATACATACACACACACACACACACACACACACACACACACTTGACTATATTACACGTAAAATATATATAACAATAATTATATGTTATTATATCGTGGCAGTATGTGCATTTTTCAAGCACAGGAAACAAATAAAAAAAAAAAGTTGGTATTTTGTGTACAAATATATTGTTCAAAAATGAAAAAAAAAAAAAAGATAAAGAAAATTGTGCGACTCTGCGCCAAAGTCTCGGAAATCAAAAATTTATTGTACTTCGTTTAACTTTTTTAATACTTCAAAAAAAAAATTTATTTCTAATATTTTTTTTTTTTTTTTTTTTTTTTTTAGAAAAAAGTAAATAATTTTTTCACATTTCTTGGAAAATTGACCAATTGGTAAAATTGGTAAAATTTGTAAAATTGGACCATTTTGGTAAAATTTCCGAAAACTTTGGAAATGTGATCAAAAGTTTGCAAAATTTTTAGAAAAATTGACAAATATTTATGTAAATTGTCCGAAATTTTTTGGAAAATTGTCCAAAATATACGAAAATTGTCTAAAATTTTAAAAAGTTGTCCAGAATTGCTACTTTGTTTGCAAAATTTTGAAAAGTTTACCAATATTTTTGAAAATTGTCCAATTTTTGATGAACTATTCAAATATTTGAAAAGTTGTCCACAATTTTTTAGAAACTTGTCCAATATTTTCGACTTTGTTTCTAAAATTTGGAAATTGTCCAATATATATTGTCAAACTGTCAAAATATTTTGGAAAATTGTCCAAAAGTTTCAAAAAGTGGTCCAATATTTTGGAAAATTGTCCAAATTTTAATGAACTGTTCAAATATTTGGAAAGTTGTCCACAATTTTTTAGAAGCTTGTCTAATATTTTCGACTTTGTTTCTAAACTTTTGGAAATTGTCCAATATATAATGTTAAACTGTCAAAATATTTTGGAAAATTGTCCAAAAGTTCACAAAAAGTTGTCCAATTTTGCGATTTTGTTTCAAAATTTTAAGAAAATTAACCAATTATTTTTTGTCCCAAATTTTGGGATAGTAGTAAAAATTTTGATATTGTGTAAATTTGTCCAAAATTTTGGAAAGTTGTCCAATATTTTTGAAAATTGTCCAATTTTTGATGAACTATTCAAATATTTGAAAAGTTGTCTACAATTTTTTAGAAACTTGTCCAATATTTTCGACTTTGATTCTAAAATTTTGGAAATTGTCCAATATATAATGTCAAACTGTCAAAATATTTTGGAAAATTGTCCAATAGTTCACAAAAAGTTGTCCAATTTTGCGATTTTGTTTCAAAATTTTAAGAAAATTAACCAATTATTTTTTGTCCCAAATTTTGGGATAGTAGTAAAAAAATTTTTGAAAATTGTCCAAAAGGTTGCAAATATTTACAAAAATATTTTTTTTTTGAATAATTAAAGAAATATTTTGATAAATTGTCAAAAAAAAATTTTGAAAAAAAAAATGACGAAAAAGCTTGAAAAGTTTTCGAAAATTTTCGAAAATTGTCCAATATTTTGGTAAACTTCACTATTATTTTGAATAATTGTCCAATAGCTGAGAAATTTGTGAAAAAATTTCAGAAATTTGTCCAAAAATTGAGACGTTTTATTTTCCAATTTTTGAAAAATTTTCCAAAATATTTAAAAAGTTGTCCAAAATTTTTTTTTTTGATAATTTGTCCAAAAAGTTTGCAAACTTTTAGAAAAATTGATCAATAATTTGATAATTTGTCCAAAAGTTTGAGAAGTTGTCCAATATTTTGAAAAATTGTCTAAATTTTGAAAAAAAAAAGATTGTCCCATATTGTGTAAACTTGTCCAAAATTTTGGAAAGTTTTTCAATATTCTGAAAAATTATTCAGTATTTTGAATAGTTTGTCCAATATTTTGGAAAATTGTCTAAATTTTGAAAAAATTGACCAATATTGTGTAAATTTGTCCAAAATTTAAGGAAAGTTTTTCAATATTCTGAAAAATTGTCCAGAATTTTTAGAAATTTGTCCAATATTTTAATAAATATATTTTCAAAATTTTACAAACATAACCAATATTTTCGGAAAATTTTCCAATATTGTGAAATTTATCATTTTCAAAAAAAATTTCAAATGATTTTCCTATTTTTGAAAAAATAAATTTTTTAATAATTTTTGAAAATTTATATTTTTCTATTATCTCGAGCTAAAAAAAAAAATATTTCATTGAATTTCTTTTTAATTACTTAAATTTTTACCTCTTTTTTTAAAAAAAAAATCCATTTTATTTCAATTTTATTATAATTTTATTTCTATTTTATTTTCGTAAATACAAGTGTTCTATTTTTTCCTGGAAAAAGAAAAACAAATTTACATATCTCGTAAAATAACACTTTGTCCATAAAAAAATTTTTTTTAAAATGAAAATTCACTGTTTTTTTTTCAAATAGTAAAAAAAAAAAATAAAATTTCTCTTTGTTATTAACGGAATTTTTTTTTTAATAAGTACAAAATTGACGAATCTCAATTGTTTTTTTTTTAAACTGCAATTAAAAATTTTCTTGAAGAAATTTACACGCGTTAAATGAAATTTTCCAAAAGATAACAATTTTTATTTCTTTTTGTCGAATCTTCATTAAAAAAAAAAAAAAAAAAATTGAATGGAAAAATCAACTAATTAATTAATTAACTAAATTATTAACTAATTTCTGTTTTATTTACGCTTTCCCATATGTCATAGAAAATGCAATTTTCAATAGTTTTTTTAAATTCATTTGCTTTCTTTTTATTTTTTCCATATTTATGCTCCTTCTAAATTTCCAGAATATTTAACGATTACATTTAACAAATCTTGAATTTTTAATTTCCTTTAAATATCCCCCCTCACAATATGCCAAGAATCTTTAATTTTAATATTTAACAGAAATTCAAATCCAATATTCAGCCAACCTCTGTGACTGACCTGATTTTATTATTATTCTAAAAAAAAAAACTTACAACATTAATTAATTTAATTAGTTGATTTAATAAATTTAATTAAGATACATTTTTGAAAAAAAAATCATGGCGTAGTGAGATTACGAAAAAATAAAATAAAACTCAAAAATCGTTTCAAAAAAAAAAAAAAACACGATTTTTCAAATGTATCATAATAATTCTAAAAAAAAAGTAGGCAGATTAAATATTGTAGTATTTAGATAACAAAAAAAAAATAAATAAATAACCAGTAACAATGGACAAGTAGTTTATAATCTAATGTGCAAAGTGTCGATATTTTAAAGCAAAAAATATGTACCAAGATTTTACAAGTAGAATTTTCCAACAATATCTAGTTTCCTAAATTTTTCTTTCATCCCCTCAATTTGAAAAGAATCTCTAGAAAGTAGAAAAATTTAGAAACAGAAAAACTTTTCTACTCTTTTTTGATTCATTTTAATGATGGCAAAAAAGAAAAATCAATTATTTACAAATAGATTTTAATGGAAAAATAAAAATCCAAATACGATTCACTTTTTTCAAAAAAAAAAAAAAAAAGAATCGCTTCTGCATTTGTTCTTTGTTTTTTTTTTTAGATTCTTTCAAAGTAGACAAATATCCAGCAATCGACAATCGGAAAAAAGTTATAGAGAATAAAAAAAAAAATTATAATAATTATAATTATAGTAATAATAATAATAATAATAATAATAGAAAAATAGTATAAAAAAAAAATCTGTAACAAAAACCTTTTGCTGGAACTTTGGAAAATTCTTTGTTGTGATATTTCAAAAAGTTGAATTATTATACAGCGTTCTTATTAAAAAAATAAATAAATAAAAATAAAAAATTTTTGAGAGAAATTTTTGATGATTTCTCTAGGGAAAAGAAAAATGAGTACAACTCGAAATTTAAGAGTTGATTAATGATGATGATGATAATGATAATGATGATAATGATAATGACGATTATGATAAATGACGATTATTGAGAGTAAAATGAAAATTTTCCGAGTCTAGATTTTTAAATGAAAAAAATTTAGACGTCCTTTTTACAAAGAATTAAAAAAAAAAAATATGCTATTTGAGAGATAGAACAAATCGCAATAAAGACTTGATTTTATTTTCACGCTCTTTGAAAATTTCAATGTTGTGTGCTTGTAAATAAGCGATATATAATATGAATTCGAAGAGCTTGAAATTAAAAATAAAAATAAAAAAAAAAAAAAACACAGAGATGAGAAACCTGAGAAAAAAAAATGCTTGAAACTTTTACCAAAATAAGTAAAGAACGAAATGACAAATGGATGTTTAAAAATTTGCCAAAAAAATATTTTTCACAAAACGAAATTGAAAATTGAAATTGAAATTGAAAACACAAAAAATTGAATTCAAAATTGAAAATATTATTTTTGAATTAATTTTTATTTTCAAATTTATTTTTTTCTTAATTAATTTTCATTTTTAAAATTATTTTTTTCATAATTAATTTTCATTTTCAAATTTTTTTTTTTTTTTTCAATAAAAAATAAATGGCAAATATTTTCCTTAAATTGGTAATTAAAAAAGAGAAAAAAAATTTCCGATGAAGATAAAGGAAATTATTTGCTTTTACAAATTAAATAAATGGAAAATATTTCCATTAAATTAAAAAAAAAAAAAGAAAGAAATTAAAAGTGGGAAAAAAATATAAATAAAATTATACAATTTATTATATTTCCCATAAAGGAAATAAAAAATAGAAAAATAGAAAATAAAAGAAAAGAAAATAATGGTATAATTCAAAAATAAAGGAAATAAAAAAATAATGGAAATAAAAACTAAACGAAATAAAAAAAAAGTAATGGACATAAAAAATATATGAAAATAAAACAATAATAGAAATAAAAATAATGGAAATAAAAAATAATAATAGAAACACAAAATAAAAAAAATACAAAATTAAAGAATAAAAAAGTTAAAATAAAAATAAAAATTTTCTAATTTATAAAATTTGAAATTTATAAATTATAAAATTATAAATTTATAAATTATAAAATTATAAAATTATAAATTTGTGAAATTGCAAAATTATAAATTTATAAAATTATAAAAAACCGAAAATTAAAGATAATTTTAATGAAAATTTAGAAAATAATTTACTTTACAAATTTTCTTTTCGAAAAAAATATTTTTTCGGCAATTTTTGAATCCAAAATCGAAGTATTGTATTATGTAAATAGTTAAAAAAAATAAAACAGAGACCGTAAGGTCCATTTAGGAAGCAAGAATAATATTGTATATACATAATGCTAATTCTGCAAAAAAAAAAAAAAAAAAGAAGTATCCCTCGAATTCGAGGGGTGTATGTAGTTTAAAAAAAGAGGGTTTCAACGAGGAAACAAAAAGAAAAGAAAGAATCCGTTAGGTGCATTGTTAAAATTTCAACACAAATCAGTGAAAGAAGAAAAAAAAGTAAAAAAAAAAAATATTAAAAGCAAAATAATCGTTATATAGCAGAAATTCGAAAATTATGTGAGAATCTCAGGCTGTGCATCTATAATTGAATTTCTGATGATAATAGCGATTTGTGTATTTTTTTTTTTTTTTTTTTTTTTTTTCACTGCATTTGTGTTGTAGACCTTTGTATCTTCGGACTCAAATTGTGTGATTTCTTGGAAATGCTGCGTTTTCAATTCGAAACTTATTATTATCTTTTTTGTTATTAGTTTATACATTGTACGATTATCGCAATTCATTGTATTATTAATGAAATACTGTAACAAACAAGATACTGTTAACTATTCTTAAAAAAAAAATTAAAACTTTTGTAAACTGATATCATAATTGATTTAATTTATTTTCCAAACATTTTTTTTTCCATTTATTTGTAATTTTATTTATTTTTTTTTAAATTTATTTTCTTTTTTTTTAAAGAATCTACATTTACCGACCGATGGTAATATAAAAAAAAAAATTACCGACTTGCAGATATTTATATTACCGATTGATGGTAAAATGAGAAATACAAAAATTACCAACTTAAGGGAATCTATATTACCATAAATAATAAATATAGAAACTTACTGTAGACTTGTAGGAATCTACAAAATGATATAATAAAAAAAATTACCGACTTGCAGGTATTTCTATTACCGACTGATGGTAAAATGAATATATAAAAATTACCTACTTTCATTTATTTGAATATTATTTATTTATATTAATTTTTTTTGCATTTATTTTCTTTATTTTCTTTTTTAAACAAAATTTACTGAAAGAACAACATGCTTTTTCCCTATATTTAACAGGCGAATTAATATAATTATAATCATTTTCCCTGAGTTAGAATATTATAAATTATTTTCTATATGTGAAAAATAATTATTAACGTAAATAAATTACAGATTATTTTAAAAATTACCGACTTGCAGGTATTTATATTACCGACTGATGGTAAAATGAAAAAAATTACCGACTTAAGGCAATCTATATTACCGTCTGATGGTTAAATAATAAATATAGAAAAATATTGACTCCTTGAAATCTATATTTACCGACCGATGGAAATATAAAAAAAAATTACCGATTTGCAGGTGTTTATATTACCGACTGATGGTAAAATAAAAATTCAAAAATTGTCTACTTTTATTTATTTTATTTTTTCAACAACATTTATTGAAAGCATTCTTTTAACAGGCAAATTAATATATATTTATAATCATTTTCCCTGAGTTAGAAAATTATAAATTATTTTCTATAAAGATGAAAAATAATTATTAACGTAAATAAATCTAGACGGATTATCTTAGCAATTTAAGGAATAATTGCTATTTAGTTAAATAAATAATTATCTAATTTTTAATTAATTTAGATAACTAATAATTAATTTATTTATATTTATGGACGGATTCAGATGAAGTTGAATATTATTTTGTACTTTTTTGTTTTTTTTTCATCGACTGGAACTTGTCCATGTTCGATTTGTGCTACCAGCAATAATGGAATCAAAATCGTAAAATTCATTTTTCTTCAATGTCGCATCTGTTGTTTGACCAATTTCTTTTCCTAAAAGTCTAAAGGGCGAGACCTAAAAGACAAAATATAATTTATTATTTATTTATGACAAAATGGTCAGTACTATTTTAATGATTATCAAATCAAATTATTATCAAAATTACACAACTTAAGGGAATCTATTTTACCGACTGATGGTAAATAATAAATACATAAACTTATCGACCTACAGGAATTTATTTCACCGACGGAAGACAAAATGACAATATAAAACATTACCGACTTGCAGTTATTTCTATTACCGACATAAGGAAATTTACTTTACCGACTGTAGGTAAATAATAAGTATAGAAACTTACCGATCTACAGGAATCGACCGATGGAAAAATAAAAATAAAAAATTACCAACTTGGAGGGATTTACTTTCACGGCTGATAGAAAAAAATATAAAAATTACCGATTTAAGGATTTTTTACCGACTGATGATAAAAAATAAACAGAAAACCTTATCGACCTGCAGGAATCTACATTTGCCAACCGATAGCAAAGTGAAAAAATAAAAAAATTACTGACTTGTACGGATGTATATTATCAACTGATGGTAAAATGAAAATATAAAAATTACCGACTTGCTGATCGGTAATATTATTATTATATTTATTATTAATATATTATTATATTTATATTATCGACTGATGATAAAATGAAAATATAATAAATTACCGACTTTTATTTTACCTTTTGTCGGCAAAGTAAATTTCTACAAGTCGATAATTTATTATAGTTCCCTTTTGTCTTCATTTAATAAAGTAATTTGTGCGGTCGGTAATTTTTATAGATTTATTTCACCTTCAGTCGGTAATATAGTAATTAAATAAATTATTATTTATTTTTTAAAATTGATAAAAATAACTTACTTGCTTTAATGTGTAATTTTGAATGTCACAGCCCATAAAAAAAGCTATTCTTTGAAGAGCAAGAATAGACTTTAATCTTAATCTGGGATTAGGATTTAACAGTCGTTTTAAAAGATCTTTACTTCCTGTGGAAATATTTTCAATATTCGATGGTAAACTAACACACGAAGTAAAAATTCCTTCCTCAATTGGATCATTTGCAATTCTTGTCACTGGATACTGAAACAAAAAAGGGGGGAAAAAATTATTATTACTATTATAAAAAATTATTATTTTTCTTAAAAAATATAAAATATAAAAAATATTTTGAAAACAAAATATTTTTTAAATCGTGACTAACAAAATTATTTAATTTGACTGGCACAATTCCTTGTTCGAATGTAAATGGCACAACGGGTCTTCTGTACAGTCGGTATTAAATATTTTTGCACATATTTTTTATATCGTTATTTTCCTGGTTTACCGACAGTCGGTAATGTTGATTTCTATGTCGGTAATTTTTATATCATCACATGTTTTATTACCGACATAGAAATCTACATTACCGACTAAAACAGAAAAATGATAATATAAACAATTGCCGACATTGCATACTAGTTTGCCGACTGATTGTATAACAGAAAGTATGACGATATAAAAATTACCGACATAGAAATCTACATTACCGACTGATGGTAAAACAGAAAAATGATGATATAAACAATTACCGATATAGAGATCTACATTACCGCATGACTGATTAGAAAATTACTAATATGTTAAACTAATATATTAAAATTTAAAAAATATTCAAATTCAATTAATTTGAGCGAGAAAAAATGCTCGGGTATAGTGGACCAATGCTGTTAGGGAGCGTTCACAAATTACGTAACGTTTTTTTTTTAATTTTGACCCTCCCCCTCTCCCCATGTAACACGTTATTGCATATGTACATTAGCGCCATTTTTTCTGCTGTCCGTAACAAAGTGCTTGACCCCCCCTCCTCCCCCAAAAAATGTTACGTAATTTTTGAACACACCCTTAAGGTTTAATACGAGCTCAGATTCTCACCCAAGAAAACTTTTTTAATTATTTAAATAAATATTAAGTTTCATAAAAAGAATTAATTTTTACTAATTTTATTTGTTATTGAAAATATAAAAAAAATTACCGACATGGAAATCTACATTACCGGCTGAAGGTAAAAAAAAAATGTTATACCATCAGTTGGTAATTTAGGTTTCAATGTCGGTAATTTTTTTTTATATTTTCATCTTCCTATTTTACCATTAGTCGATAATGTAGATTTCTATGTTGGTAATTTTTTATATCATCATTTTCCTGTTTTTAAAGAAATATGTAATTTCATAAAGAATTAAATTTTGTATTATTAAATTAATATTATCAATTTTTTTTTCATCACATATATATGGAATTTTTTTTTTTTTATAATCGTGTTTTTCATTTAAGAGAAAAAAATTTCACATATATATATATAAAAAATCACACTGTCAAACATTCTTAAAGAGTTAATAAATAAGATAAATTGAGCGCATGATGTAAACATCACTTTTATCATCATCATCATGATCATCATCATGATCGTTACGATCATTATACCCAACATCACGACCCAAATCTAAATCCCACCTTCTCAGACATAACAGAACAAAAATAATAATAATAATAATAATAATAAAAATGGCAAGTAGTGAGAAAAAAGTCCAACTAGAAATACTCGTGTAAAATCGTATACTATCGTCAATCTTATAATGATTTCTTTACCGTTATCCTCGGTCAAGGTCCTCGTTAAGGATCGAAATGGATTTTATAGCCGTTTATTGGAAATGATTATCATACAATTTTATACTATATATATATATATATATTCACCTCTTTAGAGCATGAACCTAATAATTATTATCATATCAATTTATTTCTAATGTTGCATAATTCATATCTAAATTTGATTAGCTATTTATCGTCCAATTTTTTTTTCCAACAATTTAAAATTAAATGCGTCTTGTGGATATTATTATTTTTTTTTTTTTTAAATGCGATTGCATCATATAAGTAGAGGATATAGATGGATGGATGACCGGATAGTTTATTGAGGGTCGAGAGTGGCCATTGAACCTGTTTATACGTATAGTTTAAAGCACACGCTATAAGGTGTAAAAACAACTTATGATTTAAAAAAAAAAATTTTTTTCGATTTTTTTTTTTAGTTTTATACAGTAATTAATTTTTATCAATGGTAATAAATAAAAAAAAAGCTAGATTAAAAAAAAAATTTCTAAATCAGAAAAAATATATTTTCTATAAGATAAATAAAAATATTTAAAAATAATAATTTATTTACTTAATTCTTAACACCATGGGTCCAGTAGATATATTTGTTTTAACGAAAAACATTTTTTGATTACAATTACATATATATATATATATATATATATATATATATATATAAAATTTTATAATTACAATTATAAAGTTTTGTCGGTTCAAGCAAATAAAATAATTATTTATTGAAGAAATAAAAATTCGTTAGCAATTACTAATTAGAAGCATTAATGACTTAAGGATTCAAAGGTTGATAATCAGGAATCACTATGGAAATGTGACGAAATAATTGTTGGAGTAAATGAACAAATTTTTTTTTAAATAAATGATCGTGACAAGTTTGCAGAATTTTTTTTTATAAATTATTATTTAAGATAATGTAGATATCTACGCGGCGGTAATTATTTATATCGTCATTTTCCTATTTTACCGACAATCGGTAATGAAGATTTCTATGTCGGTAATTTTTTATTTTATTTTTCTGTTACACCATCAATCAATAATATAGATTTCTATGGCGGTAATTGTTTACATCAGCATTTTTCTGTTTTACCATCAGTCGGTAATGTAGATTTCTATGTCGGTAATACAAAATGATTATATAAGAAATTACCGACATAAAAATCTACATTATCGACTGCCGGTAAGACAGGAAAATGACCATATAACAATTTACCGACATAGAAATCTACATTGGGGGTCGTACACATAATAAGCCACGCAAATTTCACCATCTTTTTGACCCCCCCTCCACCATGCCACACTTGGTTCTATACAATAGCGCCATTTTTTTCTATAGGTCGTCACAAATCTCTACATCCCCTCCCCCCGTTTGCGTGACGCATTATGTGCACTACCCCTTACCGACTGATGGCATATCTGGAAAATGACTATTTAAAAATTTACCGACATAGAAATCTACATTACCGACTGTCGGTAAAACAGATAATGAAAATCTAAAAAATTAGGTAATGTAGGTTTCTACATTACTAAAAGTTGGTAATATTTCTCTTTTCGTTTATATTCTAAATTTTAAAAAGAACTGTCTTTTCTCCTTTAAAAATATGGTAACTATTTGCAAATTTACAATTTATTAATCTATATTACCGACAGACGATAATGTAGATTTCTATGCCTGTAATTTTTACATTATCGACTGTTGACAAAACGGGAAAAATGACTATATAAAAAATTACCGATATAGAAATCTACATTACCAACTGTCGGTAAAACAGGAAAATAGCGATATAAAAAAATTACCGACATAGGAATCTACATTGCCGACAAACGGTAATGTAGATTTCTATGTCGGTAATTTTTATATTGTCATTTTTCTGTTTACCATTAGTCGATAATATAGATTCCTGTAGGTCACCGGTTTTTTTGTATTTACAATTTTTTTCTTCAACGTCAGTCGGTAACGTAGGTTTCTACATTACTAACAGTCGGCTTTAGTTTTTCTTTTCGTTTTTCTTCAAAATTTTTAAAAGAACAGTCATTTCTTTTTTAAAAATATGGTAACTATTTGAAAATTTACAAATTTTTACAATAATAATGATATTAAATTATCAATTTTTTTTGTCAATTTAATGTAAATTTTTGTTTATTTTGATCAATTCAATTAAAAAATTTGTAATTTCTATAATAATAACAAAAAAAATAATAGCATGATGTAACACCAGAAAAACCACTTTGGAGTAATGAAAAACTTTTTTTCTTCTTCTTGTAATTAAGAGAAATTAAAAGAAATAGAAATATTTTCAAAAAAAAAAAAAAAAAAAATTGCCTATATCATCCGGTGGGAATTTTTCTTTAGGCATCTTATATATATCTATAAAAGAAGCTCGAGTTTGTTCAGTAATTAGCCAGTACTCTCCCCTAAGGAACGTGTATAAGCCAAGACTTGATGTACAAGTTGAAAGTCGTGCATTTGCATTATCATATACGCCTAGCTACTTTGCGGCACAAGATCCTTCGCGCGGCAAGTCGGCATCTTCACAAGGAGACATGGAAAAAGTTGAAGAAAAAGGAAGAGACGCTTTGAGAGGGAAGGCTTCGCGTACGGGGCAACGGCCCTGATTTTTCATGTCTGAAGAAGAACTCAAGATCCTGTGACGAAGGTCACGAATTAAGTTTTACCTTTAGTCCTTATTCTTTTTTCTTGTTTTTTTTTTCAATTTGTAAACACAACTATTATAATCTATTTACTATTTTTTTATTATTTAATCATAGTTGTTAATTATTTTTTTTAAATTCATCGAATTCTCCCAATTTTCGAAGTTAAAAAAAGAAAATTTTTTATGATTATAATTAAAAAATTATTATTACGAAAATGAAATCAGAATTTATTGAAAAAAATTCCTCTATCGCTAAAGGAAATTCCTATAAGTTGGTTATGTTTTAAATTTTTTTCCGCCAGTCGGTAAAGTTTTGTTTTTATTTTTACCACCAGTCGGTAAAGTAAATCTTTACAACTCAGTAATAAATTATAATTTCATTTTACCATCAGTCGGCACAGTAGATTTCTACAAGTCGGTAATAAAATATATATTTATTTTACCACTAGTCGGTAAAGTAAATTTTTATTTTATCACCAGTCGGTAAAATAAATCCCTACAAATTGGTAATGTTTTATATTTTTAATTTTACCATGAGAAAAAATACCATAACTTACAGAAACCCACACTACCGACTGGTGGTGAAAAAAAAATTTACCGACTTAAAGGAATCTATATTACCGATCGATGGTACAATAAATATAAAAACTTACCAAACTGTAGGAATCCAGACTGATGGCAAATTAAACCCTACAAGTCGGTAATATTTTATATTTTTATTTTACCATCAGTTGGTAGTGCAGGTTTCTGTAAGTTATGGTATTTTTTCTCATAGTAAAA